CGAGTGCAATGTGCATTTCCACTGCTCGCTGTACACAGCAATCAATCAGTAATCATTTTGGAGGATTGTTGCACTCTGAACAACTCTAGGAACTTTCGTAATTGGCAATTATTTGGTGGGTAAGTGTCTTTGTTAGCCAATGACCAACGTGCACGCAACCTTTGAATTCCACTTTGCATGAGTTTAGACAAATCAACGGTGACTTGTCTTTCCGATTCAAGCTGACCCATCATCTGTATTCATCTGTGGCATGCCGACAGAAAGTATACAAATGTTGAGATTCGGAATTCAACAAGAGATTGCCCTGAAAATTTGGACATCTCTCTATACTTACTCTGAACCCCCGCAGCCAATGTCGCAAGTTGCAGGAAGACTTGTGCACAAATGCTCCTTCTTCTCGTACTTCACCACGGAGTCGTCCTGAAGACGAACATGTTCCGAGATCGGAGACAGATCGAGAGAGCCATCGACGGTCAGAGGTCAGACATCCGAAATATCGTTTTCTGAGATCGAGATAGCCAAGCTATCGGTCAGACAGCCAACCTGAGTCGCTTGAGCATCTCTGTGTAGCTTCTCAGAAGCTTCTCAGAAGCACTGGCTGGTTGATAGGTTCCCGACTCCCCGCAGAACCCAAAAATGATTGGCAACCAAGGTTGGCTAGGATTCTGAAGCATGTGTGACTGGGATTGGATTGACAGTCCTGTTCCTCTTGCACACCAAGACGTTTTCGGTCGACTCCTGCGCGATGTTCAAATGACCAAGGCACAGCGGCACAGCGATTAAACTTGCAACTGTCTTTCTGAGTGTAGTTTGCCTTGAAGTAGATGTAATACGACTTCGGAAATAGGAAACCAGAATTATCAATTACATCTGATCAGGAACGGTCCATCTATATTCACTCGTAGCTATTTTTCAGGCTCAACATGCCGGGTGAAAACGTTTCCCGACCACAGATGCTTCTTAGAACATCAGTCATCAGGCTTCTCTACGTTGGGGAGTGCGGGGAAGCATGGCTGGGCCTGGGCAAACTTGCGAGCACTAAATTAAAGAGATTGGTTCTACTATGTTACTATAGCAATTACCCTCCCTGGGACTAACATGGAAGCGGACAGCTCACACTTTGTAGAGGATGATTTCATGGTCTTCCAAGGGGCCACGCCATCCACTTTCATGTTAGCTCGAGGGAGGGTAGTTCACATTAGTTCTATTGAAACATGCTTCAACAAACATCATCCGCAGCTTTCAGTCCGAGTTATTCTTGTGGTTTGAGATGTTCTGAAGTTCTGGCAAACCCATGCGCTTCAAGACGCTCGAATACATTGGACTCCACAGTGTAACAGGGACACCATTCATTGTGCATCTGTTTTAGCTGTCACCCCGAACATTTATGTAATAAATTTAAGGGAGAACAACGTGTGACTCACTCCTAGGAAACTGGTACCGGTGGGAGTTTCAAACCATGAATTGCAAGTTGAATCATTTTAAGCGGCCGAGAAAGGGATGCATCAAATTGAACGAGCGACAAATAAAACCTCAAATAATTAATGAGACAAAGAAAGAACCTTTCAAAGCCTCTCCCACAACATGTGATCCACATTCTGATCGCGAATCCACCAGGTAAGGTGGCCCTATCCAAAGATGCCCTTGGCCCTTGGCGATCTACAACATGTCCTTCAGAAGCACCACGCCAATTCCGACTACCCATCGACCCATCACACCACACAGCGAGCACGCATGCAGGACGACCCTGGAACACGAATCACTTGTCTTCCGTACCGTCGATTCCGTCCTAAGAGCATCAAGGTGTGCAATTCCCTGTAGCGTAGCTCCAAGGTCCTGGCGAGACTTGACCGTTCCGCGCCCAAACCGACTCCGCCCGGAGTCGGCGCCGACTCCGCCGTTTCGCCGCAGCGTTTGCCGGTTGACTCGTTGGACTGGCCAAGAACGAAGGAAAAGCAAAGAAAACCAACCAAGCTCGAGTGGTTCCATGTGGTTTGGATAGAGTTCCTTTTTTTGGGGAAGTTTCTGATTGGTTGGTGGTGACGTGTGTTGTTTGTTCGCTGCTCCTAAACACAACATCTTGACCTAGAGAAGGTCTGACCGCCCGATTTTACAAGGCCCATCCATCGATCAACACCCGGGCCCACTCCCGCGAACAAAGTCTACTCCCTTCTTGAAAAAAATAACTTCCAACAAGCAAGGGGTTGCAAAGAACTTCCAACAAGCAAGGGGGTGCAGTTCGCGTTACAAGGACACCGACTCAAAAGCTGGACCTTTTCTTCCACGCTTTTCAGGAAGCCGAGCAGAGGTATGGCCGGAAAGTCTTGCATGGCACAAAGCCATTGAGTAGCTATAGCCAAAGAGATGGAACTTCACAGCATCCACCAAGGCAACTTGATAAACGGTTGCTGGCGGATGCTGGTGGATTAGTTGGTTTGCAAACTACTGTTGAAGGAAAATAGGTACTCCCGGATGAGCAAAGGGCATCAGGGGATGAGCCTTACAACTACTACCTCTGCTACTGATGTGGATGATGCAGAATTGTTGGACACAGTGACCCGTTGTAAGACCTGTTGGTTTACAATTTGACAGCCCAGCTTACGCGTTCAATATCATGTGAATCATATTATCATATTGAATCATGTCTGTTGGCTTTGTTGGCTTGGATGATTTCATCATGCTGGGCACGATGGGCACCTTCCTTCCGTACAGGTGAGCGTGACCCATGACAGGGTTCCTGTGAAGTAGCAGTTTTGAGCATAGTCCATGCCCAGGGTAGTGAAGATGATCCTCGAATGATCCCAGTATGGCTAAACAAATCCAAACGTATACTCAAACACGCTCAGCAAATATATATATATATATTGCTTCATGTATTGAATCACATCTGTCATTTTGCCATCTATGTCTTTCTATAGGTGGCTTCTCGGCTAAGAAAGACCAAAAAATCAGATATCTCACGTTGGCTAAGATGGAGAGAGTCAACATGACTTCGATCCCAAGTTCTCACTTACATGCGGCCGCACCACCATGGTCTCGGCGACTTCGTCCGGGTGCTCCATCCTTTGGACCGAAAGACCGTGCTGGTGAACCATCGACTTGAGAGGCATCGACCGGTTTCTTGCCGGATACACTCCAGATTCGAAATGTATTAAATATATCATTTCTCTCTCTAATATATAGTAAATCTATCTACCTATCTATCTATCTATCTTTTTTCTTTCTTGAAAAAAGCACATTTTTTCCACGAGCTGCAGTTGAGACCACAAAGATTTCGTGCAAATATGTGCTGACATTTGGGTGCAGCATCTCGTTGGATATGTGCAAACTTATGCTCTTGCTCTCAGAATGGCCTGAAACAGTTGAAAATATTTGTTTTTGGGGTTGAGAGGTTTCCTCAAAAGTATAGATCATCTGACAAAGAACATCTTGGACATCACAGTAGTAGGAAATTATGTTTTTGTTAACCACTCTTTGACAGTTGACATAGTTTGTTCAAAATCGTCCTGCAATGATGAATGAAGGGCGATGAAGAGTTAAAACCAGCTTGATAAGCACTGAAATTTTCTTCAGATTTCAAGAGGCTCCAGCTTGGACTTTTGGCATTTCAGACCCCGCATTCGGAGTCCTAGCGACCCAGAGACTCCATGAATTCCACGGAAAATCGATGGAAAAGAGGGTGGGGAGGCTGCGGACAATGCTACGTAATGCTACGCATGAGCTGCTGCCAGTGTTGTCTGGTTTGCCACACATGACGACATGAACCGAGAACCCTTCCAAAAAACTCCACCCGTCCTTCAAACATGCTGTTCATTGCTGCTCACCCATCATTGTTTGGGGACCCTCTTGGGAGCCTGGGCTTGGTTTTGATTCTGGAACGTTCAACCACCATAAAGAACTTTGTTATTTCCCACCATGAATCAAAATGGGGAAATCCTATGACCTACATCAGTATACGGTCACTAGGAGTCCCAAACGTGGATGGGCTATAGACCATGACTAAAAAGATGAAAGCACAACTCGAAAACACACTGCATCGCACAAATGTGAAGAAATCAAAGCACGTAACATTCTTCGCCAAGTTCTGGCCAAGCTTTTTTGCACGAATCATGTCTGCCCGGCCCCACACTCCAAGCTAAACGCAGTCGACAGTGCCCGAGAATGGTGCCCATTTGGGCCCTCAGGGGCTCGACCAAAGTTCCTGCCACGCGAAAACCACTGAAAGCCTCCAAAAACATCGACAGAAAACAGCGAATTAAATTGTCAACAGTATCCAACTCTTCCTGTAATAATTCTCACGACGACAACAACAAGGCACAACAAAAACTGCAGCCCCGTTTTAACATATCTTCTTCCTTTGTTTGTCTCTACCAGGGGGTGGAACCAAATCTGCAGCTCCAACGTTGTTTTTTGACCCCCCGAAACAGCCAGCCAACAAGTACTTTTTACCAGTAGTGGTCGTGGTTGTAGTACTAGTGGTAGCAGTAGCAGTAGCAGTAGCAGTAGCAGTAGTAGTAGTAGTAGTAGTAGTAGTAGTCCGCTTCTCATGACATACCCAGGTAACAACTCTTTACCCTTCTCATTACTGCTGAGCATGCCTTGTGGACAAATCTGTTATCTTTTGTTAGATTCTTAGCACAAGAGCTTGCTTAGGGTTGGTTGCAGGTATGCTTTCACTGTCGGACTTAATGTAACTGGTTAAAAACTTATACTTAGAATCTCTACCACAACTACGGCAAGTCCAGCTACTTAGCAAACTAACATTTCTTCCAACGTTCAACCCTATCTCCAACAGTGTCCCTTTGAAATCCCTGACTTGCAACATGTGACAACTATGTCGGGCGGCTGTTTTTTGTCTCCCAACAACTAAACAACAAGAACAAAGAACAGCAACAACAAACACGTCTCCACAAATCACAGGCGTTCAAGGTCCATACATGCTCGGGTCGACCTCCCCGTCGACCTGTCGCGCGACCGTCGCTGTGCACCGTCCGCCTCTCTTAGTAGCTCCCGGAAACGGCATCGAGACCTGGGGGGACCGAACGCATTGCGTCGTTCATCAACGGGATCAACTGGGGTAGAATCATCAGAAAAGGCCACGTCCAAAAGGGAACGTCCGAAGGCACACGTTCGCGTGCGAAAGGCCACGTTCGAACTCAGCGTCCGCGAGATGCTGAAGGACGGTTCGAGTCCGAGATGGGGCACTCTGCAGTAAGGAGAGTGGCCCCATAACTCATGCATGTTGCAAAGATAATCTTGGAACCCAACGTTTGCAATTCAAACTGACAAGCTATGATCAACTAATCGGTTGAAACTGACAAGAACTGCCATCGGCACTCGGTCCAATTGGTTGGACGATGGTCCTCCCGGTGGTGCAGCTCCCGCCTCCGCGTCTCCCCACCACTCGAGCCATAGAAGCACCACCGACTGAACTCTGCAAAGAGTGAGAGATCGATTTAGCAATCTCTGTTGATTGGAACATCTACTGACTGGTGCGACTCAGACTGAAAAGGGTGGGAAGTTTTGCCCCCAATATAGACCCTCCTGGCACCCACATAACAGTGTCTCCCATCACCTTCTCAGAGTGTATGAGGATCCTAGGGAGAGATTCCTGTTTCAATATCCAGCCACCTTCATTCTCTATACTTTCGTCACACGAGTCAGTCAGTCAGTCAGTCAGTCGAACCTGCAACTGGCTCATCTCCAACTGGTTCCCAGTCCGGGCGACCGGGCATCGCTCAAATTGCCAAGGCTCCTTGAAGGGATGAAACCTCGGTGTGACCGCCCAAGATTTCACGCGGCTCCGAAGAAACATATGGAATCGATTGGAATCGTATGGTCAACATGAACTGCTGTGCCACATGGAGCTGGAATGAGAAGAAACATGACGGTGCTGATGAACATGGTGGTGATAGAGACACATGATGAACATACATATATATATATAGTTAGTTATGATTCTAATAGTTCACCGTGATAAAGGTGGCGGTGGTAGACCGTGATGATGCTGATATGCCACTCGACTCACTCTTCGAAGGTTTGGTCATGCTGCATGCTCCGGTGAACCTGTTCTATCTTGAAAAATGTGCTACCCATGTCTGGCCCGCCTGGCAATGCCCCTTGAAGACGGTTGACTTCTCCACACGTCATATATAAACCACCTGTTGTGTGGTGGCTTTGGGCTGCCTTAGGTTCTAATTAGTCCATTTCAAGGGGGTTATTAATCATAGGTGGACATTAACAAAAGACAATGCATTTGGGGAAAAGCTCGAACAAAGCACAATCATACACTGCTCAGTCGAATTGATGAACCCATCTGAGCCAAGCTATCAGCCAACCCTTGTCACACGGGTCAAGTCAAGTCACAAATTAGGTTCAAAGTTTGAATGGTGCGACTCCCAAAAGAATGCGGGAGTGGATCCAAAGGTATCTATTGCGGTCAGTCACTCCTTCATTTCCTACCCCAAAACATCCATTAAATGAAATGCCTACTACATTGACCTCGTTTCAATCACTCACATTCTTCGGAACATATGCCAGTCCACCTTCGACGTCCGTCGAGAGCGTGGGAGGTGGAGCGATGTTGTCAGGTTTTGGCGCTGGTTTTAAGGCAAAAACTGTTTGTCCAACAGCATATTTCATATTTTAGCTAGTTTGTTTGGGAGAGGGGCCTCAAGCTTGAGCTTGGGATGTGTCTCCAGGTCCAGGGGTGGTTCCAATGGTTCCAGGTCCAGGGGTCTTTGAATTTACTTCTTGTCATATCTTTGCTAAGAAGAGGCGCCACGGCCTGACCTCCCGGTTCATGCCAAGATGCGCCACGACCTCTGGATTGCTGCAAGACCTCCCAGGCATCCACACCGGGGCAGCACGAGCATGATTGAATGGACCAAAGGTTCATCAAATGACCCCGAACACTCCCAAGGATCACTGGTGGGTGACCGGGTCAGTTTCAACTCAAAAACACCATAATATGAGTCAGTGGGTTCAATCACTCCAAGTTAAAGGTTGAACATATAAACACCGGGTCCATCTGCAGTTTGCAGAAAACAGAAACGACGAACTCGACGAACGACTCTGCGGCCGCTTCTGCGAAGCAACGACTCTGCCACGCGATGGGTAGACCCCGTCAGAACACAAAAATAGAGCAAGTACGTCAGAATGCCAACAGAATCAGACCTATGTCCAACTCTGACAATCATCTAGTTAATGAAATCACCTCGGGTAAAACATGAATGGAAACAGCATTCAAAGCGTGGGTGCAAGTACGTGCCTTGCTCAACAACACCCATTCTTGTAGGATCATCCAATCCAACTACGGTATTTGTAGCAGGGCACTTTCATGCAGTCCATTCAAACCAAGAAGCGTTCCAACATGTTAAAACAATTTTGTTGTTTCTTGTATTTCAACTGAACTGACTCCGTATAGCTAATTTGGCCATCTACCCGTACAGCCGCATAGCCTGTCCAACGTCTTTCGCCTCCAAACCATAGTGACTCCAGAGCCGGAGATGTCTGGAAAATAATTAAGCGGTTTACCTTCTGTTTGGTGTTCAATGTTGCTTTGAAGATATTTTGAGTGGCCCTACATTCCCCCCTCAGGTGTTTGCCGAGTGTTGCAGGTGATCTTTTGAAGAAACCCACCGCAAAAACTCCGCGCACTCCAGCGGACCATATTTACCAAACACTCCACTCCACGGTTGAAACGTGGTGATGGCCATACCCAAACATTCCATCGGACTGCCATATTTGCCGCCCCATTGACCCTGAAACCCCCTCAATGTATATGCCGGCCATGCCATATATACACTTTTCACAGTTCACATGAAGTCTCTGGGCACAATCTTCGTCGCTGCGAGTCGTTTGGTGCACCAAGTTGGCTGTTCCACATCACTCCGCCCCGGGCGTCTTCGATTTGCATGACGTCGGTCCGTTTGGTTTTTTGCCGCGACCATAGACCGGACAACTAGGATCCACCGAAATCGAAGCCTATATCGAACGGATCTCTTGTTGCAGGTGACCTACTGAATGAGGCCTCCTTCAGTGATGTGGAAGCAAATCGATTTGGAAAAAACACAACATCTATACTTAAACTCCCTACACCTCCAAGTACCTCCAAACCAAGGTGTTTGGACCCTCCTGGCACCCACCCACCCCAACCACCGTACCTCAGGTTCGGTACGACTGGCCGAGTTTGGGACTCTCCGAACGAATCCGCTCGGTGGCCACCTCCAATCGGAGATGTGCGGCTTGCAATGGTCTTCCTGCAAGAGGGTCTTCACCATCACGCGCTTGGCCTAGAGCCAAAGGAGCCACACAGCGAGTCGTTGTGTTCTGAGCAGTTCAGAACGATCTCTTAGTTAAACAACAAAAAGCATTGTTTCACCGACCATCCATGTGCTTTCAAGTTATGGACTCCAAGAGGGTCTGCTGGTTCACCAAGTGAAAATCTCAGCTAAGTCGCACCGCAGACTTTGGATTTCCAGCTACGCACAAGAGCAAACAAAGAACCGGAGCGTCGCCAATGCAATTATGGAGGGTACTACAATAAAACCACCAAGCACATGGATCGTATAATATACATTAATATACATGTCTTGTACTCGGGGGCTACTCTAAACAATTTGAACACAATAGACCACCTCTTCTATTCTACTGATCCAACCCATTAACCAGCTGGGCCTCCACCTATACCGTGGTCGCACACTTTTGGATGCCATGCGTCAGTCTGCCACGGAGGCTGATTCGGGCTGATCTGAAAACGCTATGACTGCCAAGCTGTACTCGAGCTACGTGAAGTTGCTTTTGCACTGGACTACTGCTACTGTTGTCATGTGGTCTACCTGCAACTTCTATCCTGCTCTTGGGACTACCATGGATCAGGGTCGTAGAAGGTTTCCGCTACAAATCCCCAGCTGAAGTGGCTGTTTGAGAAGAAGTCCTCACCCCAGCGGACGTTGCCTTGGCCATGTGGCACTCATGAAACCCTGGTGGACGAAAGCGAAGGTGTTGAAACCTCCGGTGTTAGGGTCCGATCCAGTTAGCTAGCAAACCTGATGGCTATCCTGGAGAACGAACTGCTGAGAACAGCAGTTCGGAACCCAACACAATCAACCAAATCATCCTATATGGGCGTGCTGAGCGGGTTTGTCTGTGGAGACCTGTGCCTTACAAACAACTAGAACATGTTTGATTGGTTTTCATTTGAAGCCCAGTTGCTCTAACTCTAATCCAAACACCATGGTGAGCATTTGAGGGGGGGAATAGATCACCGTTTCCAGCACAAGTCTGAACAGCGAGATAACTTGAACCCACAGTCTCCAAAAAAACCTCGACCACTTCTTGAAAAGTTTCCCATCTTGCCAACTCTCAGCGTCCGACACTACCCGTCGCGTCCGGCGCGTCCGGCGCAAAGTCAAGATGCCCATGCCCCACATCCAGCGATAGACCATAAATGGGCATGTGACCGGCGCAAAAACTGAGAGGAGTGAACCGGCAGGTTTTCCCTATGTTTCTCCAGTTCTGCCACACACAAAACCAGGAGAAGCGGGGTTTGCAGCTCTCCCTACCCGCTAGAGTGCTTTTCCTTTCCCCAACTTTGTGGCCTGCTTCTCAAGTCACAACACACCATCAAAAACAAAACTACATCTGGGCATTTCGCTATTAGGTTGGAGGCCATCGATGGTAGGTTGTTGGCTATCGCTATTAGGGGGAGGCCATGGCCATTAAGTTGGAGGCCATCGGGAGTAGGTTGGAGGGTTCCAAACTCACGTCAGCATTTGTCTTGCCAGTCAAACCGCGTGAGGCAGAGGCATGCGGCATGGGTGAAGAGTATAGCAAATCTGATGCATGGGCTCGGACAAAGCCAATCACACACACACACACACACTTAGGATAGGGTGTACTGAACTGAAAGCGGTGCCACACGCCGGCCTAGGTTACCAGTTCCTAAGAGTACAGGTAAGGAAACCTGAAAAGGAAGTGGAGGTCCATCAAGTTCAGCGTGGCCATCAACTCTAAAGGAACCGTCGAACGACCGAGCGACAGAGTGACGTCGTCCGAAACCAAAGCCCTATGCGTGACTGCCGAGAGCAAACCGGTGCAAAGGCTGGATTTCTTGTTTTAGGTACAAGCAGGGCCCGGAGATTGGAGTAATTATCACAGCAGGTACAGGAAACTGGCCAAGTTTCCCTTCCCACTCTCGCCCACAGCTTCGTTGCGTGTGGTAGGACGAGAGTGCCACACGCCCCTGCTACACAAGGAAAACAACTGTGAAGCTAAAACAATCCGAAAGGATCCCTATGATTCCAAGGGTTACACACACACACACACACACACACACGTTTGTGGCTGACAGAACACGCAGCTTTGACGCGATGTCACCTCTCATTGAATAGTGACTTCAGTTTCACGATTGCAAGTTAAATGGTCAGGACGGCGCGTTGCTTGTACGGTGCTCTTCACTAAGTCCACATCAACTACAACTCAGCCACCAACGACCTTCAGGGTGTCAAAAGAAGATCTGTTGAAGTGGTCTTTATGGACCTTCAACTCAACTAAACCTCCCAAACAAAGTTCTATAAAGCTCGGTTGCCAGGTGCGTATCCAAAGCGCTGCGCGGTCTGGTCGGCGCCGAACAACGCAGTACATGGTTCACGGCGGATTGCGTTTACTTGACCGGCGACATGTGTCCCTTCCGGCCTTTGAAGATGCATAGCACAAGTAGCACAAATCAAATACATAGCACGGGACAAAAACTCGAAAAGAAGAGGGGAACACCAAAATACCGTATATCCGTACATTGTCCAACAGCTTTCCAACTAAATCTGGTGTTGTCCGACAGTTTTGGCCCAGGCGGACATGGACATCCAAACTAAGCCTACATTGAAGACATGCATCACATGCTTCACTCATTGGTGTGTGAAAATTTCATCAAAGCTTGCGCTAAACGCTTAGATAGTTGCAGGCAGCAGCTATAGCATGTAGGCTAAGGGGCTGGCTAAGGGGTAAGGGCTGCTTTCCAATGAGCAAATCAAACATGTCGTCGTCGATGCACATAGTTTATCCGCAAGGTGGCTGCTGATTTGCACCATTGATTGCGTTGGTTTACATCTCTGACATGTTTGACCTGAACAGTCTTTCCCTGAGTAGCCGTTATATCATAAACGGTCCTGATAGAAGTATAGGTACCTCCCAACCCCCCCCCAAAAAAACACACAGTGCAAAACTCATACAAATAAGATGTCTATTAGTCTATTTGCGTTTGTTTGTGCTCTTGTGTTGCATTTATGTTGCATTTTTTGTGGATTCCGCGTTCGGACAGTTAGTCAGAAGGGATGCAACAAAACACTAAAACCCATATGATGTGCGGGAAAGGCTCGCGATTTCCAGGATCTTTGCGACTACATGATCCCCTTGCAATTGCTGATTACAGGATTGTTGTTTGTGCATCTTTGTCCTGTACTGTGTTCGCCTGTTGTTTGTTTCTTGAATTGGGTAGTTGTTCAATGCCTAAGTGAGAACCTGGGCCGGCGGCCAGGTTCAAGGGGTGGAACTCGTTGGAGCGACCAAGTACGCAAACGCACTGAATCCACTCGCCATCAAGACACACCAACAGACCGGTATGGACCTGAGATGAGAGAGCTGTTTCAACACAACAAGGTTGTCCCGGGACGTCTTGTCCCAGCTGAACAAGGCTTATTGGGGACGACACACCAACTTGCGATCGAGTCTGAGCGCACCTCACAGCTCTTCCGCGGGTGGGGGTACTGGAGGTAAGAAGTGAGAATAAACGAAATCAGAAAACACCGCACATTCCTCACCAAAAAATACGCCTGTGCAGTCGATCTTGCGCCCTGAAGTCGGACGAAGTCACAGCTCTGAAGGAGCACCAAGCTATCCCCAGTTCGACACAACCAGCACGCAAACCAGCATACAAATCGTCACAGTCGTCACAGAAGCAAAACAAAGAAAGAGCATACAACCTAGCATATACAGAACAAGTCAAAGCATAGAGGAAGCATAACATACACATCAAAAAACACAACATACCACCTGGCACATAAAAAACAATACAGAAGCACAATGCCCAAACTCGGGTTTCTCGTTTTCAGATCGGCGTCATCCGCCTCTTCAATTTGAAGAGGTACGCCACGAGAACGCGAACACCACGCGCTCTCGGAATGACAGTTCAGGCACCAACATGAAGGAAACAGCTTCGGTGTCTGTGTCTTTCTTTGCGGACTCATGCCGCATTGGGACTCATGCCACCTTCGGCCAACCGAAGCACCAGGCAAACCTCAATTCTTTCAGGGTCGACCGAGAACAGCACCGTTCGCGCCGTTCTACCGCGACGAAAGCAGTCGGTGCGACCGTGCGGTGCGGGGGGGGGGGTGGCAGCCAAAAGCACTCAGCAGCAGCGCGGGAAAAAAAAAAAAACACATGCAATAATCTGTTGGAAGTTGGAATGGCCAAGTGACCTAAATAGGACCCGTCACCTCGAGTACACAAATTAATGGGATAGTTGAACAGTCGGGTTCTTCAACCTCGGCGAGACTCCACCGCTACATACCGCTACTTAGCGAGATGTTCGCGACTTCTTTCGGAATGCAAGCTTGCAAGCTGAGAAGGGGCCCAAGAAGATCTTGAGATGGCAAAAACAGCAGCTCTGCATGGTCAAACTCCGAGTTCCGGGCCCCTTTGGTACGTCTGGAACTTGTTGTGCACTGTTTCATCTGTCAACTTTCCCAGGCTGATGATGCAAAAGAGCGAGAAAAACGGCGCAGCAAAAATACTCATGAAGATGCGCATGAACAAACTCATCAAAAGAAGCCCCCTTGGGATGGCGAGAGCGTGCAGATTTTTCAATTGTGGCTGATTCTGGAACTCACCAAACTCTGTACCAAACCGGGAAGGTCAAAAATATTCAGGGGCTTGCTGAATAAAGCATCGGGCATTATGAACCATTTGGAGGGTAAAACTTTCCGGAAACTCACATGGACCCTGAGATTGGTACCCTGAAAGACTGTTTTCCTCTAGCTGCACCGGTGGTTTTCAGGGTCCATGTGCGTTTTCAGGGCAAAACGTTCTGGACACTCACAAAGGAAAGAATACAAGAGCCATCTCTTGGGTTCTTTTCGTGCCTTTGAACGAACACATGTTGCTTCAGGTGGCTAGACGACGGTACGCATGAATACAAATCCTCACTCCGTGGTCCAAAACAACATGTTGATCCGTCCCAGATGCATTCCACCAATGGGATCCCATTGCCCACGCAACTGCATCTCATGGCGAGCTC